CCCCAAAACCCCAAAACCCCAAAACCCCAAATGACTTAAATAAATGATGAAATTAAAGTTACTTAAATAGAGAAAGTATTTCATGCATATTTCTGACTAAAACAAATGTTTTCTTTGAAAGAAAAATTTTCACTTTTAGGTATTTTTCTTCTTTGCTTTCATCTCCTAAATGTCATTCTGAGGTTATCTCAAGAGTTCATTTGTCAAATGCCTCATATCGTTTTTCTTAACTTTACCTGTTACTGTCAGAGGGAATTCTTTCACAAAGCGCACATACCTTGGAATTTTATAATGTGAAATCTAGCCTTGGCAGTAATCAAGAAGATCTTAAACTGTGGTCTTATCTTCTTGTTTGAATTTAATCCAGGCGCAGACCTCCTCGCCCATAAATTCATCATTCACTCCAATCACTTAGATATCATATACATTTGGATGTTTCATGAAATATTCTTCCAGCTCTTTGGGGTAGATGTTCTCCCCTCCCCTTATAATCATGTCCTTGGATCTTCCAATGATTTTCAAGAATCCATCTTCGTCAAACTAGCCCAAGTCTCCTGTTTTAATCCAGCCTCTCTCGTCAATAGTATCCTTTGTCTTCTTTTCATCATTCCAATATCCATTCATTACTAGATAGCCTCTGGCACAAACTTCACCAGCATCTCCCATTGGTACAATTTTCCCAGTTTCAGGATTTACTATTTTAACTTCAACATGGGGTGTTGCTCGACCAACAGTTTTTGATTTCTTTTCATGTTTATCATTGGCTTCACTTTGAGTTACAACCGGAGAGCACTCTGTCTAACCATAGCCTTGAGTCATTTACTAGATATTGAAAACATCTCTAATTTTATCCATTAAAGCTTCTGGTACTCCTGACCCTGATATGAATCCAGTTCTAAGATGGCTAATATCGTATTTATCTTTATTTTTTATATATTCTTCTATCATAGCAATAAACATAGTCGGCACACCATAAAGAGTAGTGGCTTTATACTAAGTAGTGCATTCCAAAGCAGCTTTTGCATCGAAGCTTTCACTGGGGTAAATCATTGCTGCACCATAGTTTAGAGCACATAGATTTCCAATGACCATTCCAAAGCAATGATATAGAGGGACAGGAATAATAATCTTATCTTTGCTCGTCAATCTCATAAAGGAGCCAATATTGTATGCGTTATTCAAAATACCGAAATGAGAGAGAGTGGCACCTTTGGGATACCCAGTAGTTCCTGATGTGAACTGGATGTTAGTTGGGCTTTCAAAATCTATTTCCTTTTCTCTTAATTAGAGCTGATAGTCATCATTTGAATCATAAAGTTCATAAAGATCCTCAAAATTAATCATTCCTTACTCTTTATGATCAGCTATTAGTACGATATTCTTGAGATTAGGGTATTCAGGAATGTGTCCTAGATCTAGTGGATTGGTAGCCTTATCCAGCTATGGAATTAGGTCTCTAACAAACTGCACATAATTGGAACTCTTGAATTTATCAGTCATAACTAGGGTTTTAATGCCAACTTGCTTTAATGCATACTAAAGCTCGTTTTGCTGAAACGCTGGATTTACATTTACCAAAATTAGATCTGCTCTTGAAGCGGCAAATTACAGTAGAGTCCACTCTGCTTTGTTTTATGCATAGATACCGATACGATCACCTTTGTTGAGGCCTAAGGCAACCAAACCTTTTGCTAATTTATCTACTTTGTCATTCATTTACTCATAAGTCATCCTGATTTGCTAGTGGTGAGATATCAAAGCTATATTTGTGGGATATTAGTCTGTGATAGTTCTTAGTCGCTAGGACACATGCTCACTTAAAAGGGGTTTAGTAGATGTTCCATGGGAGTAACTGAGCTAAACCTGTCTAGAGAGTCTTGAGGAAAAGACTTTTTTCTAAAGAGTTTTAAGATACATTAAGATTCTTATAATTTTAATTTGCTAATTTGTATCTTCTTATTATATTATGGATAAATTAGGTCGGGGTTTTGGGGTTTTGGGGTTTTGGGG